CATGCCCATACAAATACAAGAAGCATATAGAACAGACAGGACCAGAAAAGAAACTCTCCATGGCATATCACAGTAAAAGCGCTAAACATACAGAAGAAAGAGACAATACTGAAAGCTGTAAAAGAGAAACAACGAGTCAATATAAAGGAAAACCCATTAGGATTACAGCTGACTTTTCAGTGCATACTATGAAAGCCAGAAGAGCCTGGACCAAAGTATTCCCAGTTTTAAATGACCACAGATGCCAATCCAGATTACTAGACACAGCCAAAATGCCTATTATAGTCGAAGGGGAAAGAAAAATCTTCCATGACATAAATAGGTGAAGGAATTCATGTCCACAAAACCAGCCCTTCAGAGAGTTCTGGAAGCAATACAAAGAGCTAAAGAAAGGAATGAGTATACTCAAGGGATTGCGGAAAGAAATCCAATGAAGGTAAAACTGTGGAAAGGTACAGCTATATCAAGAATGGAAACAGAAATAAAAATGACAGGATGCAATACTCATCTTTCATAAATAACTTTAAATATTAATGGACTGAACTCCCCAGTCAAAAGACACAGACTAGGTGAATGGATTAAGAAACAAAACCCATCTTTTTGTTGTGGCACTAAGAAAAAAGCAGGAATAGCAATTCTAATATCTGACAAAATAGACTTTAAACTAAAGCTAATCAGAAGATATAAAGAGTGCCACTTAATTTTGATCAAAGGAACAATGAATCAAGAGGATATTACAATCATGAACATATATTCACCAAACTGTGGTGTATCCAACTTCATAAAAGCAATACTACAGGACTTTAAGACCCAGATTAACCCCAACTCATTAATAGAGGTGACTTCAATTCCCCACTGTCTACATTAGGTGGGTCAACAGGGCAGAGAGTTAACAGAGAGACATCTGAATTAAACAATACCATATATCAAATGGACTTAACAGGCATCTATCGAGTATTCCACCTAAGCACCAAAGGACATACCTTCTACTCAGCACCCCATGGAACCTTCTCCAAAATTGACCATATACTGGGGCACAAAACAAACCTCAACAAATACAAAAAGATTGAAATAATTCCATGCATTATATCAGACCACACTGCAATAAAGTTTACAGTCAACACCGGAAGAAGCCCTAATCACCACATGAACACATGTAGATTAAACAACACACTCCTGAATGATGAATGGGTCAAAAGAGAAATTAAGAAAGAAATAAAAGTATTCCTGTAACTAAATGAAAAGGTCAGTACAATACGACAAAGCCTCTGGGACATGCTGAAAGCAGTCCTAAGAGGGAAGTTTATAGCTCTAAGTGCCTACATCAAAAAATCAGAAAGAACACTGATAAATGACTTAACATTGCAACTCAACACACTTGAAAAACAACAGCAAACGAAACCCAAACCCAGCAGACAAGAAGAAATAACAAAAATCAGGGCAGAAATTAATGAAATTGAAACAAAGAAAACAATACAAAGACAACAATTCCAAGAGCTGGTCCTTTGAAAAGATAAACAAGATTGATAGACCGCTAGCCCAGTTAACTGAAAGAAAGAGCACCTCCAAATCAACAAAATCAGAGATGAAAGGGGAAACATCACAACAGATACCAGAAAGATACAGAACATTATAAGGTGATACTTTAAAAACCTACATGCAACTAAATTTGAAAACCTAAAAGAAATGGATGGAACAATTGATCTTTGCCCAAGATTTTTCTGCATGACACACAGTAATTAAAAATACCAGACTGGTGGAACTAACCTTCTTCGGTGTTTAACAGATATACTTTGAGGTCTATAACAGTTTGGTCAGAGGGACATAAAGGACAGTTTTTCTCCTTGCCCTCCTAGGTTGACTAGTTACAGGGAACTATGAGCACCTCTCAAAAATGTCCTTATAAGGGTGGTGTGTCACCTGTCCTTTTGATCAAGGAGGCCGAGGAGATTCCATGGGATCATCTTGAACCAGTGTCCAGTCTATAAAAAGGAGGGTTAACATAGAGGAATCCTTTCCTCCATGCCTCCAAGCGAAGCCAACCATGGTTGAGGAGGACGTTTGACTTATCTTCACATAGGTGGAACTAGTAAAAGAAAGGAGCCAGGGGCTCTTCCCAAGTCCATGTAACCCCTGAGGAACAGATCCTCAAATGACCTTAAGAGTAAACATAAATCAGTTTTATCTGAACCAACTTTATGGCCTTAAACACCCAAAAGGAAAGTATAACCAAAGATTAATTGGGCCAACATAATTTCATAAGAGCCCGTATGTATAGCAAAAGGCTACAAAACAAGTAGCAATGCTAGACAAGCGATAACCTTCTTTTGAGGTGATGGCCAGCATGGCCAAAGGGATTCCCAGATAGTAACCCAACATAGAGCAGACCCCAATATTATCCAAAGGAATATAGACAACTTATAACCACTAGATGATGAACAGCTGACCCTCCTAAAACAAAGACCTCTAGATAGGCTGACTAGATTCATCAGAAGGGCAAGTATTTGGGAATGGCTGGGGGTGCTGACAACACAGCATACAGTATCAGGGATATCAGAGTATAAGAGCTCTAGTGGGGGGAGGGAGGCTATGGGAG